CACCCCACCACACCACACCACACACACAACCGCACACACACACACGCACACACGTACACACGCACACGCACACACGCCGCACACACGCACACACGCACACACGCACACAGGCACACACGCACACACGCACACACGCACACACGCACACACGCACACAAGCACACACGCACACACGCACACGCGCACACACGCACACGCGCACACGCGCACACGCGCACACGCGCACACGCGCGCACGCGCACACGCGCACACGCGCACACGCGCACACACGCACACACGCACAACCGCACACACGCACACAGCACACACGCACACACGCACACACGCACACACGCACACGCGCACACACGCACACACGCACACGCACACACGCACACACGCACACACACACACACGCACACACGCACACACGCACACACGCACACACGCACACACGCACACACGCACACACGCACACACGCACACACGCACACACGCACACACGCACACACGCACACACGCACACACGCACACACGCACACACGCACACACGCACACACGCACACACGCACACACGCACACACGCACACACGCACACACACGCACAACCGCACAACCGCACACACGCACACACGCACACGCACACACGCACAACACTCATACACACACACACACGCGGTGAAAACAACGCACCATAAAACACAGTGTCTTTTTCCACTGCCCTCTGCCCGCCCCTCCTCCCGTCTCGCATCCCTTCCTCTGGCTTCCCCTTGCTGGCGGCGGCGCGCCCGCGGGCGCGCCAGGAAGAGGTCGCCCGGCGCGTGGAGGGCGAACGGCAGCGCCTCGCCGCGGAGGCCGCGCGGGCGGCGGCGCTCGGCGGGACTCGCCTTAAGTCGGGCCTGTCCCCCTACAGGGGGATTTTCGAGGAAAAATTGAAAATATCTTTAAAAATAGTCAACACTTGTCAAGCAATGCTCAACAAATCGTCCCCTGACTACTTTTTGACTATTTTTGAATATTCCTCCTGCAGAGGGACAGGCCCGACTTAAGACTCGCCGTTTGTCGGCGGACTCGCCGTCGTCTGCGGCACCACCGCCACCACCAGGGGTGCCACTCCAGCGAGGAGGTCCACGATGCTAGCGTAAACAGAACAACTCGGAGGCCCGCGCAGATTTCTCGGATCAGCGGTGGACCCCCCCTTCCTGGCGCGCGGAGCGCGCCGGGGGTTGCGCCAGAGGTGCCGCCAGGGGGCCCCAGCGCCGGTCCGAGGATTCCGCGCGGACCTCAGAGTTTTTATGTTTGTATCACTGTTTGTCCCCAGCGATGCCTTCCCGAGCCTGGGATAGGGGATGTCTCGAACGTGGAGGGGGGACCACACCACCAGGAGGACCTCACCCAGCTCCTCGTGCTGGTGGTCGAGGTGTTGCTTTTCCTAGTGTGCAGATCGAGTATCGAGATTCCCAGAGATCCGATAATGTTCTCTTTCCGCCGGAAGGTCTCGACCCGCTCGCCAGGGGCGGTCTTTCCGGGATCATTCTTTGGCTTGTCCCGGGGCCCGGCAATCGCCCGCAGGCCAAAATTGAGGCAAACCGCCGCGGCTGTTTAGTCTCAGATCCGTCCGAGGTCCGGTTTCGAGGAGGATGGAGAGGACGAGGGCCGAGGAGAGGATGGACGAGGATGGAGGAGAGGGTCGAGGAGAGGAGGTCCTCTAATTTCGAGGGTCGAGGAGAGGATGGGCGCTCGTTGAGTGGTTGTGGCCCTGTCGTCCGAGGCCGGGCCCCGGAAAAGCCCTGGCCGGAGCACGCCCCCCAGGGACAGTGCCCCGGGGGCCCGCGAGCTCTGCGCTGTCGTCTGCGCTTTGAGCGGGCGTCGGCTGGGGCCGGGCGGAGCCGGGCGCGGCGATCCGACTTCGATGGGATGCGGGGCGACTCGTCGGCGATCCGATGCTTGTCCGGTCCGACCCGATTCGCGCGGTTCGACGCAGCTCGGGCCTGTCAGTGGCCCAGGATTCAGACCTCTGCCGCCTCAAAAACAGTGCGGCGCCCGAATCTTCGACATCCTCAGCCTTTTGGGGACTGTTCCTCCGGCCCAGGGGCCGTCACAAGAGGTGCCAGAATCATCTGTTCTCCCCCTCGCCCCCCCGTCCTCATCCTTCCTCTCCCTCTTTCCTCCTCTTTTTCCTTATCCTCCTGACGTCAGGTATTATCTCCTCACCATTGACCCTCGTCCTCCTCTGTCCTCCCTCTCCTTTTTCCGTTTCCCCCACCAGATCCCCAGAGGCGCCAAACCACAAAAACAATACGACAACAGAGGAGAGGATCGTCTGTGCATTTCTCTGCGTACGGCAGACTTGCGCCATCTTGTCGCGGCGTCGGCGCGGGCGTGGGCGTTGAGGGATCTTGATCCCCGGCAGCCTTTCTAGACCCCCGATTGCGGAGACGGCGTTAACGAATGATGCGGTTACCTAACACACATCACCCACGCCGTCGTAGCACAAGCTGGCCGCGTAGGCATATGATGATCCCCGCGCGTGGACCCCGAGCCGTGGTAAGCACAGATCGTGTACTGCCGGAGGTGGTCCTGACCCAAGGCCCAAGGTGCTTCCAGCTTGCCTTCGCGCCATTCTGGGGCCACTGGGGCCTCTGGCTGGCTCGTGTGGGGTGCGCTGGAAGTCATCTGCGCCTTCTGGGAAATTTGGGGTCTGGGCCAGGGCCACTTTAGCAACGCGCGAACAGACAGGCAGGACGGCGACGACTCGCGAAGGGGTGAACGGATGCGGTTACCCACCATGGTCGGAGACAGCCTGGGACATTTGCCACAGGCGGAGGGCGAGCATCAGGGTTGGGGGACATGCTCGGGGGCCTCTTCTAAACGGGGGGAACTCGCAGTGGGGGAGGGCGTGCACCAAGGTTCGGAGACCGAGGTCGCTCGCGGGGGCGCGAATGTAACCGCACTTTGCGCGTCGCGGTCTGGGCCAGACCGGCCGCCATTCTCTCCGAGGTGGCCGCGCAAGCTCGCGAAGGTAATCGCACGTTGCCAGCCCCGGGCGCGATGAGCAGAGTTTGGCGACCCAGGGGACAGTCGGGGACGTGTCCAAACCAAGGGAATTGGCGGCTTCGGGGGGCAGGCATTGGCGGAAGGGACCGTCGGGGGCAGGGCCGAGCCAAGGCGAGACCAGCGCCAGCTGAGGTCAAGCACCAGGACTGGGGACTGTCGGGGACGGCCGAGCCAGGCAGTGCTTCCCAGCTGAGCTAGCACCTTGTCCGTGCAAGCGTACGCAGCATGCTTTAGCAATTTTATGCTACATCTTACATATGCGCACACATGGCTTCCAATCGAGCGGCTCGCACTCGGTCGTTCTGGTAACCCTACCCTTCCATACTTAGATCCATTCATATTCAGTCGCTCATGCTCAGACACACGCAGAGCCAGAACCACTTGTTCTCAGGGCCACTCACACCTAGTCGCCCGTACTCAGATGCCCTGACCCATTCATTTTCAGACTCACTCGTGCCCAGCCCCGCTCATCTTCAGACCCACTCACACTCACACACATGCGCCTACTGGACCCTGCCACTTTACAGAATTGCTTGTACTCGTCCTCTCATGGTCGGACCGACCCATACCTGGACCCACTCACACGCATATGCACTCTGGCTCTGGTAAAACCCACTCATACACTCGATCAAGCCCATCGTATTCAAGAAGATTGACACGCTGACCTGACCACGTTCGGGCACCCATGGGAGGGAACTCGTCAGAACAGACGCGCGCACCTGGGGCGGATGTGCAAGCACGTATACCAAGGAAGGACACCAGGACGGGGAAGGAGGATGAGGACGGGGCAAGGACATTTGCATGCAGGACGGGGCGATGACATTTGCATGCAGGACGGGGAAGGGAGGACTGGGGCGAGCACATTGCATGCAGGACGGGGAAGGAGGATGAGGAAGAGGAGGAAGAGGAGGAGGAGGCGGAGGAGAAGGAGGGTGGGGAGGAGGAGGAGGAGGAGGAGGAGGAGAATGAGGGTGAGGAGGAGGAGGAGGAGGAGGAGGAGGAGGAGGAGGAGGAGGAGGAGGATGGGAATGGGGACGAGGAGGAGGGGGTAGAGGATGGAGGGGGATGGGGGGGAGCTCGAGGAGCAGGAGGAGGGCAGGCCGCGCGAGGAGGAGGACGACGCCGAGGACGGCGACGGCGCACGACGACGAGACTCGGCTCCGCGGCAGGCGAGGAGCGCACAGGAGGCGGCGCAGCGGCGCTTCGAGGGGGAAGCCCTGCAGTGGCGGCTGGAGGACGCTCCCCTCGCCGCGGCCCCTCCCCAGGGGAAGGGGCGTCGTCGTGGTCGCCGCGTCGTCGCCGGCGTCGTTGTCGTCCTCCTCCGCCGCGTCCCCTTTCTCCTCCCCCTTCTCTGTGCTCCTTCCCCTTCTCGGGTCGGACTCCGTCGCCGCGTTGGCCCAAGGTGCCAGGTTCTTCAGGGGTCACAGTTGAGACTTCTGTTCCGAGGCCGCCGGGGTTGTTCAACCTGGCAGTTGTTTCGCCTCCACCGGAGGAGTTGCGCAGCTTCAGTTCCCTCCTGGACTCTTCAGCCGCACTCCGCGTTCTGTTGGTGTTCCGTGTCAGCACAGGCGGCGCCAAACGAGTTCTTGTTTCGGTTTTCCATGATCGGCCGTGCTCGCAACGGGAAGGAGGGTGTCAAACAGGAGACCAGATGGCGTGGTGGCAACCCCAATTGGTTCCAGGATGCCTCACCGTGACCGCAGTGCCCCACGTTCGCAACTTCGCCGTCGCACCGCCTCCAATCTAAGTGCATCTCATGTTTCCTCACCTTTTTTTCATGCGTCGTGGTTGTAGCTCCTTCTCTTCCAGCTTCCAGCTCGCCTCCGACAGGCGCCAACATCGAGACCACGGCAAACAACCAGAGTATGACGGACTTCGGAACTTCGGTCACAACTGGCATCGTCAGCATGCGCGCTTCCCTCAGTGCCTATGATCCGAATGCTCGAATGTCAGGCGACAACAGGGTGGCCCAGGTTGAAGGGGTAATGCAGGTCCGGTCGCCGAAGCAGTACATTTGGCAGCCGACGTCAAGCTCCAGGCCATCCTAAGCCAGTTCGAAGAGCTGAACACCGGGCCGCCTTCAGAAGTTTCCCCATCAGCGGCGGGCTCGAGTGCCTTGCCAGCCGCCGCTGTGGCTCCTCATCCCATCGAACACGACCTTGAACCGATGGTTCGGTTCGTTAGCACATTCCGTCGGCCAGTGCTCAATAAGTTCCGAATGTTGCGTTTCAAGTGGTTCAGGAGGGCGTGCAGTCACGTCCTCCATGAGGCAGCCTCATTCATTCACACTTGTCCGTCAAGGTTGCAGCATCAACTGCTCGTCGTCAGTTGCCGCAGAACTCTTCCAGACAACCTGAAACAGGATAGCATCACCTTGACCGACTCGCGCGATGGCAAGACCTATCCCCGCAGGATCCGCACGGGCCCCGTATTGTCGTCAGGACCAAGAGGCGCAGAGGCAGCAACATCTACTCCCTGTTGAAGATGTTGCTCCACGACAGGGACGAGTGGTCAAGCGACGCGAAGTTAGGAGCCAACGGAGACTCAAAGGCACCATCTGGCTCATCTCCAGCGAGTACTAGTCGACCTCTCCCCGGACGCCAAGACGGGTGGCATCACATACGACTTCCAGCCCAACATCAGCAACCTGAGTTGTTCCAGCATATCCGCGGGGCAGTTCAACGCAATCGTCGAGCAAACCCTCATCTTGAGGGTCTTTCTCTAGGCGCGGCCGTCGCGATCCCGCTGCTGATGGTGGCCGCCATGCGGTGTCCGATGCGCGTCGTTGCGCGGGAGTTCGCGGGCGCGGCGACAGTTTGGCATGTGAGTCCTTGAGCGCGCCCCCCGCAGCTGCCGAGGCGGATGAAGCACTCGAAGCAATTGTGCATTTTTCAGGAGGGGGTGGAGAGCAGCATAGGTGCCCCCAAAGCTTCTTCCCCCCCCAGCCCCCCCACGCCCCCGCCCTTCCGCCATCGCCCGCATCTTGAGCTGGTCAGCTGGAGTTGTCGGGCGGATTTTGGGGTCAGTCTTCTTCGATCAATCCGTTCCTTAAGACAATTGCACCCGGCTTCGCAAGCTGCTTTCTTGGCGCCGGATAGTTGGAATGCAAGTGTCGCGCGGCAGTAGGGAGGAATTGGGCCAGTAGCAGAGAGATTGTCAATCTCACGAATTGGTCGGGTCTTGTTGCGACTCGAGCTCAAGTGGCGGTACCGGGGTCCTTAAACACCGCGCGATGCTCGCTTGGTTATCGCGCATGGTCGAGCATGCCATGCTATTCAACTTGTCAACGTGCATGCGGGATCCCGACCGGAACGAACCGCGTGCGCGTCGTGTGTCCGAGCGAATTTGCTGTCGACTGCTTTCCTCTTCAGTTTCTCCTGGGCGTGTGGCCGGGGGCGTGAATATCTTTGCGCATGGTGAATCGAGTGCGCACCCTGATGCGGCGCAGCCGGCGCGAGCGGAGACCGCGCAGGGGCGCGGCGCGCGCGGAGCGCTGAGAGCCGTCGCTTGCTGGGCTTTACCGCGTCTGCATGCCGCGCAGGATACCTTATAGATCAGTGCCCGCGCTAGGGCGCATCTGTGGCAATCGACGATCCCGAGGCTTTTTTGGGACCACGCCCCCGTCTACCTCGGCCTCTCTCGCTGGGCCCCCTACTGGCTTCAAGCGGACGCGCGCCCAGGTTGGTCGGCACTTTTACCTTCGGGAAGACATCGACAATGCCACGGGCGCTGATAGTTTGCCTGGTGACGCGCGCAATCGGGCGAAGGAGGTGAAGGATGTCCAGCGGCTTGCGGCCCAGAGGGTGCGCGCTTTCATTTCCGACAGAGTCTGAGACTGAGGAGGGGGAGGTTCCTCGCGTTCTGTCCGTTCTTCGCGGCGCCAGGGCCGGCGTCCTTTCGAATTGCCGCCGCGGGGTCCAACGATTCCCCCGTCTGAACGAGTTCTGTGTCCCTGGCGAGGGCATCGTGATGAACCGCCCAAGCGTTGGTGCTTTGCGAGGGGGTATCGCGCGTCGCAGCTCGATCCTCGAGAGCGCGCTGGACGGGCTCTCTTCGCAGGTGGTTGGGTACCTATTGGGGCGTATTGGAGGCGTCTTGCGAGCGCGACATGGCCGCGAATGGCGTTTGGAATGGCGTCGCCCACCCCCCGCCCCCCTCCGTGGTCAGAGCGCCGGAACGGCGTCGGGAACGGCGTGGCCCCCCCGCTCCCGAGCACTACATGCGTCGGGGATGGCGTCGTAAATGGCGCGCCCCCCCCCCATCCTCGCCCTCCCTCATGGTGTGCCCCCCCCGCCCCCGAGCTCTAAATGCGTCGGGGATGGCGCCCCGCCGCCCCCCCCCCCTCCCCCCCCTTAACGGCGCGCCCCCCCCCCGCCACCGAGCACTAAATGCGCCTGGGATGGCGTCGGGAATGGCGCCCCCCCCCCGCCCCCCCTCCTTGCAGAGCGAAGCGCGAGCGAGCTCAAGTCCACGCTCTCAGAAGCTCACTCGCCGGATCGGCGGATTATTGAGGTTGGGTTACAAGATTTTCTAGAAAAGACGCGGCGCGACACTTGGGCCCGACGGCGCCCCGCGCTCTTCTTGGATGGTCTCGCAGGAGGGGGCGCCCCATCCGACCTCCTACCTCCGCCTCATGAACGAGGGCGCGGCCCCCTCCTTCTCCGACGAGCGGCTGCTGCCTTCCCGCCCAACGTGTCCTCTTCTTTTGCTTTTTGAGGGGCCGCCCCCCCCCCCCCCCCCTTGGGCTTCGGCGACGAGTGGATTCGTTCGGCCGCTGCGGCGCAGCGGCGAAGGGCGCGGCGGAGCCAGTTCAGATGGGGGTCATCGCAGAGAGGCAGGTGCTGGGCAACATCGTCGAAGTTGACGATCTCGTTGCGCATCGCTCATGCAAGAGTTCTGGCGCGGCGTTCTTCTGAGCAGCAGGCTGCCCCCCCTTCTCCTTCCATCGCGCGATCATCCGAGCTACCCCGCGGATGCTGGGCATCGCAAGTTGTCCTATCCCCCCTCTCATGGCGTTCGGGCGTTCGGGGGGTCGAGCAAGCACTTCGTCGCCGTGGAACCGGGTGCGAACCGAGGGTGCCCTCTTGAGCGATGCCACATACAGTCTCTGTTTCGGCCCGTTCGTTCGCCCTCTGTAGCAGCTTGCGCTCAGGATCCCGATCGCGTTGAACGCTGTTTCCGGCTGTCTGAGCGCGGTCAGCTCGGACTTGGTAGCCTGGCTGGCATCGCTCCGCTCCTTGTCCCATGTGCTGGCCGGGGCGCGGGGCCCAGTCGTAACTTTGGCAGGCCCCAGCTCGCCTTTCCCAATGTTTGACGCTGTCGGCATGGCCCTGGAAGGTGAACAAGCGGGGGGGGGAGCTCGGAAGTTCATCGTCGCTGGGCATGGGCGGGGCTCGGGCGCGGGCGTCGGCAGCGAGGCGGTTTCTCTCAGCTGGGCACCCTGCCCTGTGCACGTCGACGAACGGACGGGGGCTTTCGTTCAGCGTGCGTGCCTACCACGCCTGCGCTTTGCCTGTCGCGCGCCCGCGTCCACCCCCCCACCTCTCCGCGGTCGGTTGACCGATGGGGTGTCTCTCACTCCTCCTGCGCTGCCCTAGTCGCGCCGCCGTACCGCCGGCCAGCACGCATGCAGTTGATTCCCTTGGGCAAGACTTCTGTGCTCGGAGATTCGAATTTTTGCCCGTGCCTGCCTCGTCAGAGTCCCTGCCAAGAGTGCGGTCTTCCTTCCTTCCCCGATTATTCGTAGCAGGAGTTCAGGAAGTCTGAAAAAGCGTGCATCCTGTGGAGGGTTAACCCCATGGCCACGCATTCCATCATTGCAAGCATGTGTAAGACTAATCTTCTGTGCTAAAGTGCGAAAGCAGTTGTAGTATCCCCGACATTCGCATCGGCAATGTCAAGGATGGATCGCGCAAATATTGACCCCAGTTGCTCCGATCTCGTCTTGTGCTTCCATGGTCCGTCCTCGCATTGTAACGCGACTCGCATTGGTTCCTGATATCATAACGGGCCTTATCCCTATCTTGTTGAGCATGCTTAACATTTGATTCCCAGCGTCTGTTGCCACTAAGAGTATTTTCAATGGCCGGAACATTGACCCTTCGATACAGGTGCGGTGCGAAATCTTGCGATATGCGGCGTCCTGCAGTTGGAGGTTATGCTTTCCCTCACGATTATATCTGTCTGATTGCGAACCATTGCCCATTATCCTACCGGACACATTTGCCCGAAGTGGAAAGTACGACGAAAGTGGATCGGACGGAGGGGGGAGATAAGAGAAGACGAAGAGGACGAATTACGACAACTCCCTCGTTCTTCTCCCTTGCCCCCTCCGTTTTCCGTCCTCCTCTTTTCCCTCTCCTCCTCCCTTCTTTGCCCTCATGCCCGCCCTCCTGCAATCGTCATCCTCTCGCCGCGGCCACGTTGCGAGCGAGGATGGGCGACGATCGAGGATCCAAGATCCATGATCCAGGCGGGGAGGAGAATTAGGTTCGAATGCGTTCTACGCGTGTTTCCGCCCCTGCATGCCTTTTTCGGGCTCCAGGATTTCCAGAAAGCGATCCAGAGAAAAACACCTGGCCAAGACCAACTAGAAGGAGGATCGAGGAGGTTGGAATGGGCAATGTTGAGGAATGTCACAGACGTTCGAATTGTTTTCGTCGCTCGCTTTGCCAGTGGAGACCCGCATCGTCAAAATATGCCTGGGGCCAGGTTGACAATCTGCCCACGATGGCCCTATGGAGGAGGGCCTTGGTCGGGCCCCAGGGCCTTCAACAAACGCTTCCCAGGGATGAAGGGCCCAGTCTCAGGGAACGGGTCCGGACTCCCGGGGGTCCGCGTTGTCAAACGATCACGGCGTCGGAGTTCCGGGTCTGAGCGTATCGGCCGCCAGACGGACCAAGGGAAGGATCCATTCGGTTGCCGAGCGGGCTCAGCTCACACCGCCCTGCTGGAGCTGAGCGCGCTTTGGCTGCTCGTCCGTCGGCCGAGCCAGCTCGGGCGCAGGGCGGGCTCGGAGCGACGCCTCGGGATTCCCTCAGGGGCCCTCCGCTCCTTCCCTCTAGATGTGGTCCGGCTCGATGGGGTCGGAGGATCGCGGTGCGTCACCGATGCATCGCCGATGCGGCTCGATGTGGAACCCGATTTTCCCTGGAGGATCCTCGGGCGAGCCGAACGTCTATGGGGTGGGGGGTCCTGGCCCCCCGGGGCGCGCACGGCGAGTTGCGAGGAGCCCGCCGCCATGGCCGGAGTCGAGGGCCGTGGGGGCTCCACGTCGCGGAATGGTAATTAATGGCGTCGGGCACTGCCGCCCCGTGGGGGAAAGCGGCACCAGAATCACCAGGTGCGCGTCCCTCCACGATGAGCTCCAGGGGCAACTGGCTCAGGGCGGGGGACGCTTCGACCCCCAACCGCCCACTGATCGCCAATAGGGGAGTACGCCCCGCGAAAGAACGTGCGGATGCGATATCGCGGGACGTATGATCGCCGATCGTGTGGCGATGTATTGTTGATTCCAACTCAATGTTCCCTGCCACCCTGAGCCAGGGCCCCCGTAACCTTCCCCCTCAGCCCCTCAGCCTATTCGGGCTGCAGACCAGATGTGTCGTGATTTGGACGCCTGCAAACAGCAACACCACATCATCACGATGACCTTCGTCTACCCCTTGACCATGGAGGTGTTTGTGCCGTCCTTCTTTGATCTGGCCCTGCCTCTCTTTGCTTCCCTTACTTCTCCATCTTCGTTCTTCCTTTTTCCCCCTCGCCGAGGAAGAGGAACGCGCCCGAAAGCTGGAGGTGGAGAACAATCGAGCGCTGGAAGAGGACTCCGCGGATGTGTCAAACATTGCCGTCGCGACTGGCCCGCGCGCGATCTCAGCGTTTCCCCGCGTGTCTTCTGTGGGTACCCGGCTCAGACAGGGGTTTCGGCTCGGTGCTACGTCCAGCCCGAGCTGGTATTCTTTGACGAGGCGAGCAGCTGGTGTCGCGATCAGCGGCGGCTGATGTTGCGGGGTGGACGCGTCACTGGGCCCGCCTGGCATCGCGGTGATGGTCCTCCTCCTCACCCTTCCCTCTCCCGCTTCCCTCTCCCGCATCCCTCCGTTTCCTCGTCCCTTTTTTCCCATTTCACATTCTCCTCATCCGCCTTCACCTGTGCCGCTGCTGGCACGCTGGCCGAGGCCGCGTTAAGGCGGCCGAGGTGGGTCCCCTTGCCCGAGGCCGGTCTTCCTCCTCTTTGGCATCCCCGCCCACTCCTTCCTCAGGGCGATGCCTGCTTGCACGCGGGTTCGATCTCGCCCGCTCGTCGAGTCGTGCGTGCTCTGCCAGTCCGCATGCTCTCGCCCTTGCTCTCGCCCGCTCGCGGCGCGCTCGGACGTGCAGGTGGAAACTTTTCCCTCACTTCACCCCCCGCGCCTCCTCCCTTTCGCCCCCCCCTTTCGCCCCCCTCTCATCCCTCCCGTCTCTCTCCCTCCCCAGCGACTCCCGCCAACCGACCCGCCAGCACAATGCAAGCTGGCTGGCAGTCGGGCGCTGTCGCAAGACGTGCTTGGGACCCGTGCGGCCTGCGGCCGTGTGCTACTCCGCGTAGCCCCAGCGGTGCTCATGCGGGCGGAGATGGGAAAGTGTGGGAGAGGAGGAGAGGGAGAAGGGGTCGAATGGGGAGAAGGAGGGGGAGCGGAGAAGCAGAGGGGGAGGGGGGAGAAGGAGAGGGGGTTCGGGGAGAAGGAGATGGGAGGGGGGTACGGGAGAGGGAGACGGGGAGGGGTCCAACGGGCAGTGGGCGGGAAGTTGGAGAAGGTTGGTGGTGATGATGGTGGTCGCTGCACACGAGAGGCAAAGCCCCGAGCAGGGCGGCGACACGCACCGCGGGGACGACGCATCAGGGGAGGAGTGGGAGGTCTTCAGAGGCCTCCCACTCCTCCCCTGATGGGGTCTTCAGTTGCCCCCCCCAGGGGTTTCTGGAGGTCCCGGGGGCCTCCAGAGGCCTCCGATGGCGCAATGTTTCCCCAGCTCCTAAGGTGTTTTTTTGTTGTTATTTCCAACCCTCCTGTGTTGGGTTCTCGTTTTGAATGGAGCACTGTGGTCGCGTCTTCTCCTCCTCCTCCTCCTCCTCCTCCTCGTCCTCCTCTTCTCTCCCTCTTATCTCCTCTCTCCTGCCCTCCGCCTCTCTCTCGTTTCCTCGTCTCTCCACTTCGTCTTTTCCTCCACCCTTCTCTCCTGCGTCCTGCTTGCGCCGCAGCTCCGATGAGACCTCTCGGCTCCCTGGGGGGATGTGAAGCAGGAACACGTAGCCACTGCTGTGGGCTCTTTGGGCGGTCGCGCGGAGTGGAGTTATTTACACACGCGGCTCCCTGGGGGGCTGCGAAGGGTGAACTTGTCGCCAGTGTTGTGGGTTCCTGCGCGGTCGCGCGGAGTGGAGTTACACACGGGGAACCAGTTGAGACCTCGCGGCTCCCTGGGGGACTGCGAAGCGTGAAATTGTCGCCACTGTTGTGGGCTTCTGGGCGGTCGCGCGGAGTGGAGTTGCACACTGGGTCCCAGTTGAGACCTCGCGGCTCCCTGGGGGGCTGCGAAGCGTGAACTTGTCGCCATTGTTGTGGGTGCTTGGCGGTCGTGGAGTTACACACGGGCCCCAGTTGAGACGTCGCGGCTCCCTTGGGGCTGCGAGGCGTGAAATTGTCGGCACTGTTGTGGGTTCATGGGCGGTTGCGCGGAGTGGAGTTACACACGGGGACCCAGGTGAGACCCCGCGGCTCCTTGTGGGGCTGCGAAGCGTGAAATTGTCGCTTTTGTCGTGGTCTCCTTGGGCGGTCGTGCGGAGTGGAGTTACACACGGGGTCCCAGTTGAGACCTCGCGGCTCCCTGGGGGGCTGTGAAGCGTAAAGTTATCGCCACTGTTGTGGGCTCCTGGGAGGTCGCGCGGAGTGGAGTGATATGGGGATTCTGTCGAGACCTCGTGGCTCCCTCGGGGGCTGCCCGCTTTGGTGCAAGAACATCGCGTTTCCCTTGTCGCTCACCGCGACGCGCTGTTTTGCTTCAGAGCGCATGGCGCTGTTCTCTTCCTTGTATGTAGCGCTCGGCGCTGCTACTGTCATTGAACATGTCTGTCCCACCCTCCACCTCCTCCGCATGCTTCTGTCCCCGTCCCTGTTTTGACGATCCTGCGTGTTGATGTTGTGTATTTCTGGGAACTCATGGGCACTGCGAGTCCTTCAGCATGCTTGTTTGTAGTGGGTGGTCCTAAATGTTTTCGCCATATGTTGAACAAGGTTTGGGTACGTCACCGGATCATGATTTTGGCGATTCCGGGGCCTTTTCCACACCTCCCTTTCCTCGCTCAGAAACACTTCGACATATTCATACTCACTCATACTCCGCCTCACTTAGTCTCTGACTCGTTCATTCCTGATGTTTTCACACTCAGGCTCACTCGCGTTCAGACTCGCCCACACCCAGACTCACACACACGCACACTCACGACGCCCACACCCACACTCAGACGCACACGCACTCTGCACAGTCATACATTCATCACATCATACCCAGGCCCATTGTGCACAGTTGTTCATCACTCAGACTCACCCATGCTCAGACTCAGTCTTCTCCACGCAGATTCAGTCACATCACTTCCACATTCAGATTCACTCATGTTCAGATTACTCGCTCACACAGGTTTTGAGGATGTCTTAGGCGAGGCGCTGGTTCCATCACTTCTAGTTACGGTGAGCGCCAGGGAGGTATCTCACGGGCCCGTTCGCGCCCAGATTCCGGGGATGTCTCAGGCGGTTTGCCACTGTGCGTGCCCAACATCCTTTGCGTTCGGAGCGTTTTATGAGGATTTCTTAGGCGAGGCGTTGGTTTCAGCACCCCCCCGGGGGGGAGCGCCAGGGAGGTATCTCACGGACCCGTTCGCGCCCAGAGTGTGCTGATGTCTCAGGCGGTGTGCCTGTTCGCGTGCCCAGTAAGTACCCTTTGCTTTCGGAGTATTTTGGGAGGATGTCTCAGTCGAGGCGCTGGTTTCAGCACCCTCAGTGGGAGGAGCGCCAGGGAGGTATCTCACGGGCCCGTTCGCGCCCAGATTCTGGGGATGTCTCAGGCGATTTGCCCGTTTGCGTGCCCAGCATCCTGTGTTTTCAGAGCGTTGTGCGAGGATGCTTCAGGTGAGGCGCTGGTTTTAGCACCCCCAAGGGGGGAACGCTAGGAGGGTAAGTGTGGTCCAATGCTCACCGCGATGTAGCACGCGTGGCACTTGGGCATCCAAGGTTGTGAACACCTGGGGGTCTGGGGCGGTCGCGGATCTCGTGGAGGGGTGTCAGCCTGGATCAACCTGACAGTTCCAGTGTTTCTTTACAGGTTTTTCCCGCACGCAAGAAAACAGCATATTAGCAATCGGACTGTTGCAGTGTTTCTTTTAAATCGTTTTCGAAAACAACATCGATCGCAATCTGGATTCGGTTGCGCGGGTTCCACGGGCGATTGAGACTGCAAAACGCTCCTACAGAGCACGGCCCCAGCGCCCCCAGCAATCGCTCAGTGCACCACATCTTGGGGCGACGAGGGAACGGCTTCAGTAGTCTCAGTGGGCCCTGCGTGTCCAGGATCATCATCGGTATGCATTCGGTGCCTCATGGTGCTTTCGGGCTTCTCATAGAACCCCTCGCCTGCCTCTGGACCCGTTTTTCGGGCTATAGGACACCAGATGGTTCATAGCGGTTCCAATGGTTTTCTGTGGATCCCACCTTCACTCGGCATTCTCGCCCAGTCGTCCCAATGGCCCGCCGATGGTTCCACGCGGGACCTGAGGACTCATATAGGAGGGGCGTTGCTTCCGTGGAGCGGAGGGGCTCCCAACTGGGGAGTGAAAGTGAGAGGGGGGGTAGCTTGCAGGGGTCGCAGCAGGGAGGGGGGGAGATGGGGCGTGGGCTTTTGGCAGGGGAGGTCCAAAGCGGGGTGCGAGGGTAGTTAAGGGGGGGCCTCCCCCTCTCCTGGCGCTGTCTCCCATGGCGCCCTCTCTCGACCGAGGCATATAAACTCATAGAAACATTCACGATCCTCGGCCGTCGATCCCATAGCAGGTTTTCTTGAGATGTTCAATGCGCGGCCCTCCGGATTCTCCAGCACTTATTTACTGGCCGTTCGTCCTGGATTTTTGGTTGATTGCCCAGGGGCCCAGAGCCAGCCCCCGATCGGCAAGAACAGTGCAACGTATCCGTCTGGAGATCTTAGATCCCTGACAAAACAACAGGACGTATACTCTGTGCATGTGCATGTGTCTGGTCAGGATCGGCGCTCCATCCGCCGCAGTCGGCTGCTCTGAGCGGCCGGGCTTCCTCTCCCCTTGTCGCGCTGGGGCTTCTCCTCCTTCTCCTCCTCTTCCTCCTCCTTGCATTGCGGCCGCAATTTGCATACAGCGTGTCCCATATTGCCACTCCGCCGGAGCAGTCGCCCTCTGCCCAGCCGCCGACGCAAACATGTGTATGGTCAGGACAGGTGCATATGGATGGTTGGGGCTCTCCACTGAATATCTCGACCGTCTATTTATCCTCTTCGAGGATGCCGCGGGGTCGCTGAGTCGTTTTCAAAGCCCGTTCAGCATTTCTTCCGCAGCCCTCGCGGGCCCCGCCCTGGCAGTTTTTCGAGCTGCCTGCAGCCGTGGCGACGAGAATCGCCGATACGCCCATGCGCTTCCACAGCGAAGGCGTTGACGTCGCCAGCTTCACGTGAGCGCAACGTTTGACGAGCAGACGCCGCGCGACACTCTGATTAGAGCGCCCGCCCGCAGGGCTTCCACGCGCCCGCTGTTTACTGTGCTGTGCCGCAGTCGACGTGAAAAAGGGGAGTGGCGGAGGTGGAGGAGGAAGAGGAGGAGGAGGAGGAGAAAATGGAAAGAGGACGAGGAGGAGGAGGCGGAGGAGGAGGAGGAGGAATGAGGAGGAGGAGAAGAGGAGGTGGAGGATGTGGAAACGTCGTCGCCCTCTTCGTAGAGGCTCCGAGGCGTGCCCGGGTCCCTTGGCGCCGCCCTCCCCCCGCCCTGGTCTGCCCGCCAGGAGCGCCAGCAGAACGCGGTAGCGGTGCGGCGCGCGGAGGAGGAGGCGAGGCGCAGGATCGACGAGGAGGTCGCCCAGCGGAGGCTGGCATTTTGCGGGGCTCGGTGCCCGAGGGAGGGGTGTGTTAGTGTGTGTGTGTGCGTGTGTGTGTGCGCGTGTGTGTGTGTGCGTGTGTGTGTGCGTGTGTGTGTGTGTGTGTGTGTGCGTGTGTGTGTGTGTGTGTGTGCGTGTGCGTGTGCGTGTGCGTGTGCGTGTGCGTGTGCGTGTGCGTGTGCGTGCGCGTGCGCGTGCGTGTGCGTGCGCGTGCGTGTGCGTGTGCGTGTGCGTGTGCGTGTGCGTGTGCGTTTGCGTTTGCGTGAAGGAGGGAGGGTCGGAGGGTGACAGGACACCGCGGGGGCGGCCAAGGAGAGGGGTGATGACGTGACTGGGGGGGGATTTCGTGGCCTCGGCCATGATATTTTCTGGCCTTTCGGGCCCCCTCGTCTTGCTTCAATGCGTCCCTGGGGCCCTCCGGGGCCGCGCGCGCACCTCTCGCCATGATCTGCGACCTTCCCCCCCTTTGGACGCCCCTGCCTTGGACGCCCCCGGCCCCCCCGACCCTGCCAAGTCGATTCGGTAATTTCAGGAGGGAAAGAAACACACAGACACAATTAATCGTCGATTCCCCAGAAAATATGGGAAAATATGGGAAGTGGGGGGGAAGACAAAAACCCAGAAAATATAGGAAAATATGGGGAATCTTTTTATTTATGTGTATTTATTTGTGTGTTTGTGGGCCCCTTCATAATTGCCTTTCTTCTCCGTTCTCGAGAGGGTGTTGCGGCCCCTCCTGTTCTTGCGGGCCTGCACCCGCCGGGTCTGGTCCCTGGTCGTGTTCTCTACAGGCTGTCTTGCCCAAGGGGGTGTCTGTCGACCCCCGAGAGGGGCCGGGTAGGCGGGATAGGGTGGGACGGGAGCCACGACGATGCCATAGCAGGCTTCATGCCTCGGGTCTCGATGGCGACGGCGGGCAAGAGCATGTGTCGCGGTGCCAGTCGCACGACATCGAGCAGGGAGAGCAAGTTGCAAGTGATGTGTTGCACCTCTGTTACGTATCGGGATATCCTGAAGTGCACTTCAGAGTACAGCGCTGGTGTTATCGTACGACTCCACATCTGAAAGAGCGCGTTCTGTAGACGCCGAGAGAGGGGGTGCCGAATCCATCTTACCACTTTGGTCGTCCATCCTCCTTCTCCCTTCCCCTTCCTTACTCCTCCCCTCGGCCTTCCTACCTGCTGGAAATGGCAATGCAAACGCAATGCAACGAACCGCAATACAAATGCAAGCCCTGCCTTTCGCGCGCAGTCAGTCGAGCGTCGCCGCAAGGTGTCGTCGGATTGTCGGAGACTCTCCGACTGATCAAGTATGTCAATTCAAGCACTCACGTCGCGAACACAAACACGTATTATATCACTTGCAGCTAGCCTGCAAGCCGCGGCCATCAGCTAATGCCTCTGGCGCTTGGCTAGCCCCGCGCAGGGCGCTCGCTTGCGCTTTTTTTCTTTCCGGGAAGTCACGTCACTCTTCAGAAGAGACCCATTTGGGAATGGATATGAACCCTTGCTCAAGCTGCTGGCGGTCAACGGCCATCGCGTGGTCGTGCCCAACCGCAGTCTTTATGTCGAGAATTCCATATGGGGCGCGTCTCGTCATGTGCAAGGCTACCGAATGGACCCGGATAACCATGCGGACGCTACCATTGGGGCCTTCGATGGAGTTCGCTATGGGGCCACGAAGCGTGTGAGGAGTGTGCCACCATGGACCCGAATAGCCAGACGGACGAGGAGCGGAGGAGAGGCGAGGAGGATAACGAGAAGGGGAAAGGGACACGCGGCGCTGCGTATTCAAAACGGGTGCCCGACTGACAGGAGGGCTGGGAATAAACAGCGCGGAAATCTTGAATCAACGTTTCCCTGTTTTTTTGTTTTCACAGCGAAGGCCAGCGCGGAGGACAACACAAACAAACACAACACACACAACAAAGTCTTGACCCTTCGCGTATCTCCAGACACGATCGCCAAGTGAGTTGCCTTGATGAGGTCAGCGTAGAAGCATGTAGTGCGACGACCGTCTTGGATGCTTTTCGGGGGTGCGGGGGGGGGGGACGTGTGTTGCATGAGTCATCAAAGGGTAGCTTGGACAGGTCGACCTTGCGCCGTTTTGGCGATAGAAGGGGGTCGTATGTGGATTTTGTTTGACAGATGTTGACCTGCCACGGTTGCGTCATCGGGAAGGTTTTTTTTCACCACCATGTTGCCAATGTTTTTCCGAACGGGCTTAGAACAAACCATCATATCATATTGTCCAGGTTGAGAAAGGAGGGGGTGGAGGAGGAGAAGGAGGAGGAGGAGGCGGAGATGGGGGCGGAGGAGGAGGAGGGGGAGGAGGAGGGGGAGGGGAAGGGGTAGGGGAGGGGATGGAGGAAGTCTATGCGGCCCTGTGTGTGTAACTCGTTGCTAATGCCGTACCCGAGCGGGTTTAGAAACAGGAGCAGCTTATCATATTGCAGTGGACGGGAGAGGTGGAAGAGGAGGAGGAGGTGGAGGAGGCGGAGTAGGCGAAGGAAGAGGAGGGAGAGGTGTACGAGCTAATAACAACATATTGGGCGCTGTGACGGCTTCGTCCCCCTCCCTCCCAGGCCCAGGGGAGCGGGTAGGGAGGGGGGTCAAGACACCCTCCTAGATAGCAAGCCGTCTAGCTCACTCCCACCCGCCCTCGCAACACATAAGTAACACCCGAGTCTCAGCATGGTCAGCGGTCGTCTTTGGATGGGCCGCTACTGGGAATCAAAACCAAGCTCATGTGCGCGACGTTGGGGCGAGGTGCGCGACGCGTGCCAGGCGCGCCGCGCTCGCCAGGCACCCCTTGGGCCCGAGCATGCCAGGCACGCCTGCTGCGCCAGATTCGCCACGTGCCTCCGCGTGCGCCAGGTGTGCCGCATACTCCAGTCGCGCCAGGTGCGCCACGTTCGGGGCACGTGCAGAGTGTGTCAGGTGTGCCTGCGCACGTGACAGCACACATCGGGAAGCACATTGGCCCCACCATCCATGTCGAAAACCCATGCTCATCATTGTGTCTGGTGGGTCTGCGCACAGCAGACCATACGCCACCACTTCTCGCGTGGTGGCCGCGCACGATCCAGTTTTAGCCGCGAGGTGCATGTTGGATTGTTTTTTTGTCAGGGATGGTAACCCTGCGCGCAGCAGGCAATACGCTCACACCCCCGCCGTCCCTGTCAAGAACCAAAACAAAGTGCTTCCAGACCCCAGGCTTTGCCCCAGAGTATACTTTGTACTGTTTTTTTGACAGGCACGGTGGGGACTGCCCTCATGGGGTCCTCACTGTTCCTGATTGGCTGCCGGTCGCCTTGGGGAAGGGGTGTGTATTTATAGGGAACAGTGATACGCTCGAGAGCAGCCGAGTTGCACAGGCAGTGAAACGCGAGGAATACGATTGTATTAGGCTGCGCACCGTACTCGCCCCAGTCCAGCTCGAATAGCCACGTTGTGAACATCCCACGGGGCCCAGACGGCACACACTATGAATCAAGCACGACGTCAAGAGAGGAGGCCCAGGAGGAGGAAGGATCACGGTAAAGAGGGTGAGGAACGGAGGCGGAGGAATTATTGGACGCTTCAACCCAGAAGCATTCCTAGTTCAAGTGAGCTTGTATTGGGTCATATTTCTGCTGGGCTCCCTGCGGAGCAGGTCTTCCGTTTCTTCGGCCGCCCGCCGTCTTCCTGGGTCCTGTTCGTCCGCCCGCCGTCATCTCGGGTCCTTTCTTTTCTTCCATTTTCCGTCTCCGTTAACGGTAAAACGATGCTATACACATTGATGGTTTTGGGAGCTTCGTTGGTCGAAGCCTCTCCGCAATCAGCTCGTGCATGGCGCCCGCTGCGAGGCGATGTTACCAGCTTATGTGTGCGAGGTTGGTCTTGGGCTTGCACCTTGCTCGGGGGAGATGAGAAAAAAACAACAAACATGAATAGGAAACAATGAGAATCTCCTCCCCCGAGCAGGGAAAGAATGGGTTGTGGCAGGGAGCTCCGTTAGACAATTCAGCCCCGAGGGCTGGTAGGATTTCACAAGTTTCTTGGGGATCCAGGACCCCAGTCCAGGGTTACAGAACGGGGTTACGAGAGGATTCCTTTAGCGGGGAGTTACAATAGGATCTTGTGGAATAGTCTAGTAGGATCTGTTCTGTGGAGGATTGCGATCGCATTTTTCTTGTAGTATGGCTTGCAAGCCGCGTCTAAGAGAGGGAGAGATGGCATGGTCAGGAGGACGAGATAAGGGCCAAACAGTGTAAAATAAGGGCGGGGTTGCCACGGCACAAACGATGCGCCCCACGGGCACCCCCTCCTCAATTGCGGGGGGGGGTTTTGGAACCGCCGCCAGGGGGGGGGGTCCGAACCGCCCCTTACCCTTCAAGGCGGAACGGGTTCGAACTGGAGCTTCCTTGAATTGCAAAGGGTGAAGGGTTTCGAACTGGCCCCCCGGCCCCTCTGCAACTGACGTCGGCGAGCGCTGGCGAAGGTGCCGGCGCCGTCTGGCAACGACGACGACGACGCCGGCGCCGACGCTGTCGACGACGGACGACGACGAGGACGAGGAAGACGACGACGACGGCGACGACGGCGACGACTACGACGACGACGCCGCCGCCGACGCAGCGAAGGTGACGTCGTCGCCGCCGTCGTCGTCATCGGCGGCAGCGTCGCCGTCATATTCTCGTGCCGGAGCTCTCGCGACAGCCATACAATGCAGCAACAGTGTTCTGGAATTCAATGTCCCCCCCCTGGCCCGATCCGGCCGCGAGGGCCCGGCCGGCTCGACCGGGTCCGGCCGTTGCGGCTCTCGCGCGCCAGCCGGACGATGCAACACACAGTGCTCCACTTCTTAACGTCTTCCCCGCCCGGCCCGACCAGACCGTGAGGCCTTTGCCCGGTCGACAAGGCCCTGCCGTTGGGGCTCTCGCGCGCCAGCCGGACGCTGCAGCATATTGTTCTCCCTATTTCAATGTCCGACCCGCCCGCCCCGACCCGCCCCTGAGGGCCCTGACCGCTCGACCAGGCCCGGCCGTTCGGGCTCTCGCGCGCCAGCCGGACGATGCAGCATAGTGTCTTCCATATTTTAACGTCACGCCCGACCCGACCCGACCCGCCCGTGTCGGTCTGGCCAGCTCGACAAGGCCCGCTTGTTGGGGCTCTCGCGAGCCTACGGGACGCCGCAGTATATCGTAGTCACCCAAACCCGATCAATATTGCCATTCGGTGCGACGCCCCACCGGGCTCCGTCATTTACTTTCACAATGGGCATGGTGCCGTGGACATTATTAGAGTTACGTTTCGAATCCAAATAAAAGCGTACCATGCGGGCGCGTGCGCGCGCGGTCGTTCGGGCGCAAGGCACAGCCCCTTTTCATCATCGATCTCTCCAAACACGTATGACAGTAAGCATATTGCCACTCTAATTGAGGTCGCTGGCCAGTTATCTTCGCGCACTCGCGCCAGTGCTCATCAATGCCTTTGTCTGGATGCGCATATGCGCGAATCTACTTGAAAAAAAGGCCTGCCGGAAGGATTCGGCGAATGAGGCGATGAGATACCCAGCGTCGGCTTTCTTGTGGCAAGTCAGACTGCGCGGACGCGATGGGGTTCGAAGAATGTGGTGGGTGGGCATGATCGCTGCGCAACAAGCCAGATGACTACTCCAAGACTTTGAGATTCTTACCTCCCCCTTTAGCCAGGCAGTTCCCGATTTGACCCGAGATACTTCCCATGATTTTTTGTTACCAATGTCCCAGTTCGTCCCTCCCTCATCAAGGTTTTGAGTGCGAGCCGTGGCCTTCGCGCGGGGGTTGTCGTCGTCGCTCATCGCTCGTCGTCGTCGCGCACGTGGCCAGCGTTGTCGCCGACGTTGACGCCGTCGTCTTTGGCTCCGCTTGGGCGGTACAGGAACAGAGCGACACCTTTGCGGCAGAAGCCCCTGAACTGTTTCGCGCTTACACGGATGGGGGGGCACGAAGAGGGGGCATCGTGCGCGAACCAACATATATCGCGGGCGACGTTTCTCCCCCAATCCCCGAGTTTCGCCCGAAAAGTTTCGCTCAGAAGTCTGGGATAACCTTGGGATGCACCCGAAGGGGGCTATTCGGACGCACCCCTGTCAAGGATGGACAACCCCCCATCGTATATCCCAGGGTTCGGAACCCCCACGACACCTGGGATAGGGGTCAGCACTTCCCCTGCTAAAATATGCGTATCCGCGGCCTCGTGGGCTGGGCCTAGCTGCCACCCCGCGGTCACGGGTCGTATTTCGCGGGTGTTGAAGTCGCGGGTCCTCTCCGTGCGACCGCGTATCCACGGGATAGCTCCCCGCAATCCTACACCGCGAGGGCGCAGGTGCGGATTTGTCCGCCGTTCGTGAGGCCTTCGTCTTGGTTCGGGGCGATCGACATTGGTACGGAAAGAATGGATACATCGGAGGAAGGAGAAGCGATACCAACACCAGGGGGCCCACCTCCAGCGAGGAGGTCCACGATGCCTCCCCGAGCTGGATGCTGGGGATGTCTCGAGCGAGAGGGGGGGACCACATCACCAGGGAGACTCCCCTTCGCTCCTCGCACCTCCCCGCCCTGCTGGTGTTGGTGTCGCCTTTCCGTGTTCCCAGTACAAAGACCGACAATTTTTCTTGTTCATGTTGAAAAGGGCTTGCTGTCGGTGTCTCTGCGAACGTTGTCCATTTGAGGCAGAAGGCCGTCTGCACAAAAGCGGACACTGTGGGTTTTGGGCAACAGATGCTATTGGGTATCGTAGCGGTTTGTTGTACTCATTGGGAGAGTCCAAATCCAATGGACTCCGGCCCATCCCGACACCTGGGACTTTGGTCGTGGGTCAAAAGTTCTCAGGTATGTTTCTTCGGGCCTCTTCGGAGCGCCCTCCGGGGCCTCTTGGGAGCATTTTGGGGGCCTCTTCGGGACCTCTTGGGGTCTCCTGGGGGTCCCTCGGGGCCGAGGGCTCGAAATGTCCGTTCGGGTTCCTCATTTGGTCCCCCTCTTGCGGCCGTCTTTGAGTCCTCTTGGACCGTCCTGGGTGTCTCTTGGGCCGTCTTGGGACCCTCTTGGTGGCCTCTGGGGCCGTCTTCAGACGATCTTTGGGGCCTCGTGGACCGATTTGGAGCGTCGGGAAGCCGAAAAGGCGAGAACGCCAAACTCTTTTAAGCTCCTTCAACACCCTAAGGCAAAACAGTGATGTTGGCCCTATGGGGGCCCTCTTGGGAGGCCTCGTGGAGGCCTCTGGGGGTATCTTGGAGGCCCTTTGGACCGTCTTGGGGCCGTCTTGGGCGTGTTGGGGCGATCTTTCGGCGACCCGGAGAACTCTTGGTGGGGCTCTCTTGGCCCGTTTTGGAGCTCTCCTGGGCCCCAACAAATCATGCGACAAATCCCGGGCAAACGCGACACGCCCCAGGAAATGTGTGTATTTGTTTTGCCTGGGCTTGTTAAGAGACCCGAGGAGAGAGGAGAGAGGACTGAGGCCGAGAGGCTTGGGCAAGGGACTTGAGGACGCGCCCACTCCGTGCCCAGAGGCACGGTGGCGTTTTCTGTTTTTTGGGGGGGCGAGCAAAAAAAAGAGTAGCACTGCCACAAGAAGAGGTCAGGGAAGGTCAGATGGAGAAGAACGGGGTGCGGCCATCCGAAAGCAACATGCAGGCTATGCGGCTATCCGAAGAGGCACGTCGGCGCATATTTTTGTCCCTGGAGGAAGCAGCCACCCGCCGCTGCCTCCCCAGAGCGCCAGGCGCGCGGAGGAGGAGCGCCAGGCCGCCGAGGAGGCCCGCGCGCAGGCCCTGCGGCAGGCGGCCCGCCGGGAGCCGCCGACCGCGGGCGGTGTCGACGCCGGCGGGGGGGCGACGGGGCACCTCGGCATCGCTCGGACGTGTGCATTTTTCCTTCGGCGAGGACCATTGAGGATCATTTGGCGAATGAAGCCACGCACGATACCGAAGGAAACAGGGAACGGACGTCCGAGCGATGGCCAGACAGGGAGGCACCGAACAGGGGGGCGAGAAGGCGACCAGACCGAGATGGGGGGGGGGAGGGGGGGAGGGCGAAGGGCGAGGGGAGTGGGGCGGGAGGGGGGAGGCGCGCGAGCTGGAGGGCGCAGAGTGGCGACGGGAGAGCGAAGGTGAGGTAATGATCATGATATCCCGCCGCAAGAATATATACATGTGTCTATATGTATATGTATATATATATAGGTACACGTAGATGTGTATAAGTATCTGTACACTTAATTGTACTTGTATGTGTGCATGTACACGCATACGTATATGTATATGCACATGTATGTGTCTCTCTCTCTCTCTCTCTTCAGTGCTTCGTCCTCTGCCGCCGGCCCCCTATTACTAGTGCGGGCGGCTGCGCGGATAGCGCCATGGGTGCTTCCCGTGGCAAGCTTTCGGCAGCGTCAGCTGGCCATTGTTGGATATTTTTGGAAGCCATTTTGGAGCCTCCTGGGCATATATCGTGTCTCTTGGGGGTTCTCCTTGGGGCCTCTTGGGGGTCTCTTGGGCGCCTCTTTGGGCATATTGGGACCACCTTGGGGCCTCCTGGGGCCCTCTCGGTGCGGAAAGGTAGAGTTTTCGGTTCGTGGACTCTCTGTTAGGCATCTCTTGGGACCGTCTTAGGGCCCTTTTGGGCCGTGTGGGGCGCTTCTTGGACCGCCTTGGGGCCCTCTTCGGCCGTCTCGGGGGCCCTTTTGGGCTGTCATGGGAGCTTCTAGGGCCGTCGTTGGGCGATCTTGGGAACCTCTCGGTCCGTCTCGGAGCGTCGGACAGCCGAAAAGGCGTGAAGGCCACACACCTTCAAACGGTTGGGACCGTCTTCTCCGTTCGTCTATTCGACCGTTAAGTTTGGCGGCGCCTTCTTGCCAACAATGGGCGGGTTGAGTTACCTGTCGCCGCCAGGCTGGCCCAACTTGGAATCCAGTGGAGGTCCATGCCAAGAAACACCCTGCTCGCCTCCAGGGTGCCCTGGGCTTCTTGTGTTCCGATGGTCTTGCGATTGAAAGCGTGACGCTCCCACGCCACAAATGAATGGACGTCCTGGGGTCCCAGGTATGGGTTTCCTGTGGCAGGATTTTTGTGGTAGGGCCCCTACTGTACACCCAGGGGCCCAGCCTGGCAAGGGCGCCGCCCAACAAACGCCCAAGGCACACGGGTGGAAGGGGGCGGGTTTCGAGCCCAATCCAGGCGCGCACCCTGCTCTGCAGCGCACTCCCAGGGTGCAGCACCAGGCGCCAGACCGTTGCGGCACATTCCCTGCGACGTCGCCGTTCGGAGCCTATCCAACATCGGCCACCTGCCAGCCCACGAACCAAGCAGAGCGCAACTTGGCAGCGGACCCCACTTCGAACTCCTGCCCGCCAATCAACCAACCAGCCCGCCGGAGAAGGGCAGGGGAAACGGCCTGCTGCTTGCCAGCGCGCGGCCGTGAGAACCACGGGCTGCACTGCAGCGCGCGGCCGTGAGGATCCGCCTGCCGCACTGCAGCGCACGGCCGCGAGCTGCCATCCGCCGCGCCTCGGAGGCGCCCAAGCTTCGAGAGGCCAGGACGCCCCCCCAATGCACGGAAGCCGAGCGGCCCACAAAGACCTTCCTGAATATTCTTCCAGCCCCCCCCAACATAACTACGCGATTTGGGGGCCATGGGAATCTCCTCCGCTCGCCCATTCGGCCGCGTAGTTGGGCGACGCCCTCGCGCCAACAATGGGCGAGTTGAGTTGCTTGGCGCCGCTGGGCTGGCCCGTCCTGTAACGCGACCAGGGGCCCTGTGCAGCGGGATGGGCCAGGCGGGCTTAGGCAGGGACAGGAACGGCGGAATCATCGATCAGATTCGAATGTTTTAGCACGCGTCGGCAAACGCCATTCAACTCCAAATGTATCCGAGCAGTGCTAACCATCCTTCTCGCCAGTCGAATCAGAAAATTCGGCGAGCCACTGTGCCGCTCAGACCTCGCCGCGAGATTGAGCTGCGGCGCGGCCGAATGCGGCCCCGCCCCGCCAGCCTCCTGACCAGAAGAGCGCAAAGGGACCACCAGCCCGAAGCGCATCGTCTGCGAACCCGCGCCTGAACGCGCGCGTTCCCCAGCGCTGTGCCCGCGGCGAGCCGGGCGCCCCTGCGCCGGCCTTTAAGGGCGCCGTTGTTTCAGCGTCGCGAACATGCGAGAAAGGCAGATTGCCATCTTTGGCTGCTGCAACGTCGCGCAGTGCATGGGGGCGGCGGCCAGTGCACGTGCACTCCCGAATGACGCCAACTGGGTCCCCTTTAGCACATCCAGCGCGCAAAAGTTAGGATTCCTTCGGCCCCGCCCCGCGCAAATCGACATGGGGCAACCGGCGACCCCATGGTCAGCGTCTCCGAGTACCGTAGATAGACGTGCCTGGCAACCACCCGCGACAAACCCGCATCGCCCAGGCCTGCGCCGGGCGCCTGAGCGAGAAGATCGCGGGCCTGCGAAGTCGACGCCCGCAGGCGGAGCTGGAGCTGACCAGGCGCAGCTTCTCCTGCGCCCTGCACCGCAAGTTCGCCGGCCGGGGCGCGCAAAGCGCACGCGCAGAGCGGACGTGGGGGAAGCATCTTTCCAACGACGCACTGCTTCGGAATGGCGTGAAGCGGGGCGGCGGCCATGGAGGCGCGCTTGCCAGATTTGCGGCTTCAGCCAGAAGCTGCGCTGCGCTGGCGCATTGCCCAGCGCTCCGCTTTCAGCCGCAAAATTCAATCCGCGCGGCCCGGCTTTCAAAATCATCCGCTCGGGGCCCATGGCGCGCGCCCGCGTGGCAGCCGCCTCCGGGCCTGGCTCCAGAACTGCGAGTGGCTGGCCGGGTAGCCAGCCCGCATCTCGAATGGCGCGCGCTAGTTCCGCCTTGGCTTTTGCGACCGACGCCAGAGCAGAACGGCCTTTCTCGTTGCCGCCCAGCGCCTTCCGCACTCGTAGGTGGCGCCGCCACGGGCCGCGGGGGGCGCGCCAGCCGCGCCAGAAACCGACGATATTGAACTGCCTGGCGCCGCCTGTGCGCGGCCCGGCAGCGCTCGATTTCGCATAATTTTACAAATCTCCATTGGTTCGCGGGATTGCACGTTGCAGGCGGCTCCCACATCAGCCGGGCACTCTCGACCTCACGGCCTTTGAAATCGAAGGGATCGACGATTCCCAGCTGCGCCAGATATGCGGGGGGACTTCCCGGCGCGGTCCGGGGCGGGGCGCGCTCGCCGCGTGGCGAAGCAGGCCAGAAACAGCAGCCGGCAATTCGGCGACGCCCCGACTTTTTCCTGGCCAGGCTCACTGGCTTCGCCGGCGCTCCTCCGCAGGCCGCCGCCGTGTCCCGGACGCGGCTCTGAGCAATCGCAGCCGACGGATGAGCCAGCCTGATCACGGCAATGTAGCTCCGCATGTGAGCCCGCGCCCTTGTCCAGACCAGCGCAGACGCGGACGATACAGATGGCGCTCATTTGTTTACAGGCGTTCCCGAAAGCCGCGGGGCGTCTGGCGGCCTGCCCCAGGGCGCATTGGCAAAACCTTGGGGCCGCAGCGCCGCCAGAGCTGCCGCTGTCTCTCGTGGCGTGGTCGGCGCGTCGGCCACGTGGCAGTGGTGCGGCTCATGGAAAGAATTCGAAAGCATCCCTGCTCGCGCAACTCGCAGCCACGAATCGCCAATCGAATCGCCCCAATCGGCATTGCGGGATAAACCCCCGTTCGGAGCCTATCCAGCATCGGCGGCGACCAGCCAGCCTACCGACCAAGCAGAGCGCAACTTGGCAGCGGACCCCACTTCGAACTCCTGCCCGCCAATCAACCAACCAGCCCGCAGGAGGGAGGACGGAGGAACCGCCCGCTGCCTTGCGGCGCGCGGCCGTGAGAACGACCGGCCGCATTGCAGCGCGCGGCCGCGGGCATCCGCCTGCCGCATTGCAGCGCAAGGCCGCGAGCTGCCCTCCGCCGCGCCTCAGAGGCGCCCAAGTTGCGAGAGGCCAGGGAGCCCCAAAGGCATGGCAGCCGGGAGGCCCGTAAAGACCCTCCTGACGATTTTCCTGCCCACTCACATAGCTACGCGATTTGTGGGTCATGAAGATCGTGAATTTTTGTTTCGTCGATGGGGCCCTGTTGGAAGGCCTCTAGGAGACCTCTGGGGCCGTCTTGGGAGCATCTTGTGCCGTCTCAGGGACCATCGTGGACATCATGAGGCCATCTTGGGCCGTCTGGGGGCCCTGAGGTTTTTGTTCGGGGCCTTGTCAGTCAATGTTGGAGGAATCTCGGGCCGTTTTGGCCGCGTGGTAGCGTCGCCGTGAGAATCCCCGCGTGGCCGGGGGCAGCCAGTATGTGAGGTTCACTACCCCCGCTGGCTGTTCGGTGGCGCGGCGGGGTCCCCTAGCAAACAGTAAACAGGAGGCAGGAAACAGGAGTAGAGAGACATAAGGCCAAACGACAAATGACAACGCATAATAAAGGACAGCGCACCGCACGCCTTTGCAGCCTTGCGTCCCCGGAGGGGGGCCGGCGGACACACGCATATACGTATATCGTATATATATATATATACACATACATAAATATATACACATACGTACACATACATACATACATACAGACAAACATTCGGCACCGACCAACAAACTGTTCCTGGGCCTCATGGGGGGGGCAGTGCATTAACCACCACTGGGGCCCAACGACTTCATGCACCACCGCCCTTTCAGAGGATACATTCAACTTCGTTGAAAGATGTCTGTGTGCTTATTGTCGGGGAGTAGATACAAGACCTTTGAATTTTCCACAGTGGCAACAGTAAGGAGGGCAACT